ACACATGGCTTGTGTATATCGTATATATACATATATATTATTCATATCTTCGGTGTATAGGATGCAAGCAGATTTTGACATCAAATTTTGGGGTAAAAATATTTATGAAATTTAGGTTTAAACTGTTCGATTAATAAGGCTTCCTTTATCTTTTTCTCCATTGAGGAATTTAACATTATCAATTTGGGATGAATGACTATGCATGGATATATGTCATAAATCATGGAAGAGGGGATTTGTTTATATTCTTTAAAATGGGTAGGAACTTGTCCATGGGTTTCTCCAATGCAAAAGTCATCTCATTATTCACAGTTTATTTGATACATGGAACTAGAGGTATCAGAATCTTGATATTTCTTTGACAAAACTTGTTCTAATTTTCTGTCAAGAAGGAACACAAGTTTTACGGACAAATTGATTTTAGCTTTTTGAACAATATATCCCAAGGCTTTCTGATTGAATGTGGCACCTTTGGGATAAAAGGAATTGTGTAATAAATAGGATGTTCATCAACACTTAACTTATGGTAAGACTCCACTTTAGATTTTTTATTTGTGTAGAGGAGAATTTGATAACAGATTTCAGAGTAAAACTGTTTTAGGTTAATAATTCTGTTTTAAGTATGTTGAAATTTGATTGAAAATATATGTTACTGGAGCAATGATGTAGTTTTATTATACCTGAGAAGGGTTGTGGTAGGAGTTCCAAGATATGTACAAACTGGTGTATCTTTCTGATAAGTGGCGGTATGTAACTTTTCATCCTGCCTTGTAACAAGAACACTCGGAAATGTTGTTTTCTTCATTTTCTATGGTAAATTTAATGTCAGGATGGATCATGTTCAGGTGTGAAAAGAATTCTTTTGATGGATGAGGAATCATTGAAGCCAGTAAAGAAATCGTGAATGTATTACTCAGAAAATTGGTGATGAAGGGACATAGTAATGGTTTGATCTTCAATACGGGATTGTATTACTCAGAAAATTGGTGATGAAGGGATGTAGTGATGAAGGGACATAGTAATGGCTTGATCTTCAATATGGGATTTGTATTACTCAGAAAATTGGTGATGAAGGGATGTAGAAATGGCTTGATCTTCAATATGGGATTGCTCATACTTAATTCCTCAATTATGAGGCCTTCATGTTAAGAAAAATGTGTTGCAGGAAGTGGTGAAATGGAAACCATTTTTCAAAATTTGAAAAGAAAGTAAAGACCCAAGAGAAGTGTTACTTACGAAGCAATCAAGAGAACAATCTCCAAACTACATTGAAATATTAAACTGTTATTTCTAGAAATTTTTTTTTTTTTTGGCTAAATATAATTATTTAGGGAGACATTTGAAATCTAAAAACATACTTTGATTAAGTAAATGTAAAAAAAACAATGTAGGAATTGATAATGTTATCATCTTTATTTGTTTTTCTACTAGTAGAATCAGTCAAGATTTGATTTTGTGACATTTGATTTTTTTTGTACTTATGCATCAGAGTTAACATAGACTCTTTTAAAATTTGCTTTTCTTTTAGTTAGAACACTACTTTCAACAGTTGAAAAATCCTAGTGTGAAGGTGAGTTTTGGGGTTTTGTCTACATTAAGTTATGTACATTGTATGACAGAATTTGTTAGAAATAATAATTCAATTATTTCAGTACACCACAAACTGTTTGTATAGTAAAGTGTATTGTTTTTTACATATTTTCATGTTTAAATAGTCTGTAAAGTTCAGAACTGGAATTATTAATCTTTGTTTGTTAATACCCTGTGTCTTAATTCAGGTATTGAAAATTTTAGTTTGACACTTCTTGTTAAGAGATTTTTCATTATTCTGATAGAATGAAACTACAGATGGAAATGTTTCTGCTCGACGAAGACAGTCAATAACAGATTCTTCCTCAGATGAAACCAAAGATTTGGGCAAGGAAACAAAGCATGTGATTGTCAGTCAGACAAGAAAAACTTGGTCTGATTGGTCCACCAGCCAATCAGCTAGCCAGTGTGGTAGTGGTGTTAGCAGTGGACATGACAGTAATGAAGAAAATGGTATGTCATGTGCTTTAGATTTTGTACATAAGTACGTTCATGATACTCATCGGTGGACATTACTAAATGTTAGAGAAAAAGAATCTTGAAGTTTTTTGAAATATATCATTGGAACATTCATCTGTGTGAAGTTTGGCAACTTACTGTTGTAAAGGTAGCAAAATGTGCTTAAACTAAACTGAACGTTTCTATTTATTAGGCCCCATATATAAACATTTATGTTCATTTAATACTCTTAGTATGGGCTTGGGGGATTAAACCAACCTTGTAACCATCAGTTTCTATGATATAACTTAGTGTATCTTCACAATATTCGGCAAGCTTTCTGTAAACATTACATGTCTTGTACACAGAAAATCATATTTTTTAACTCTTTCACTATGGGTACCTTTTTCTGTGCATGTTACAACCTTTTTACAGAATTACATTAAAAGTTTAATTAAGCTACTTTATTATCAATGTGTACCAATAAACTCGGCATCAAAATGTTGTTAATAAATAAAACTTCATATTCTATAAATATTAAGTTCTTAATTTTATAAGTAAATATTTTTTAAATCATCAATCTCACCCTTGTATGAGAATTGTGACATTTACTCTCTAGGTCTCCCCCTCTTTAATTTATTTACCACCCCTCCATGAAGTACAGAATTTAATGTAATTAACTCATTATAAGATAATTATTACTCAGACAAAGCATACTTTTCATAGCCTTTAATCTTATTTGTTTATGGAGCCATAAAATAGAAAATCAGACCCACTTGTCACACCCACCTGTCACATCTTTCTCACAAATTGCCAATAGTTAAGTACTATATTATTTATAACCATTTGAAAGCCAAGGTTTTAATCTGTCAAATTGTCTATTTCACTTCCAGTTCAAACTTTATTCCCATAGGAAACACTGATGAGCTTAACTGAATTTTTAATGGCTCTTACAGAATAGTTGGAAAGCCAGAAAAATTATGCTAGTTACAGGATATTGTCTGATTTTTACATGTTATTATTTTGTATTTTTAGGTGTGTTATGTAATTAAGTAAACAATTATTTAATCTACTAATGCCATCAGTATATATATAAAAAAAAAATATGCTTAAGTTTCTTCGACAGTCGACAGAAGAAAAAAAAGACCCATTATATTTCTTGTTTTTGTTTGTGTGTATTCTTTATTTATTATTAGTTTATTAATAATAATAAAAATTCTTCGTGAGGTATGCTGGGGAGCATCTTGTGTATTATGTAATTTTATGTGGTAACGTGAACTGCACGCTCACCAAGTTATTTACAATTTGTATGGTGGGATTATTAGTTAGACACATTTCATAGGGTAATAAAACAATAAAATTAAGTATAAACAAATGTATACTGTTACAAGCTTTAAGCTGTTTAGGATAAATAATTGTGGTTTCTTGTTATAAAGGGTAATCTTGATTTATTTCCTAATTTTTTAGGTTACGAGATCGGTCAAATCGACTTCATATACAGTTAGGGTAGAGAAAATAACAAATAGAATATAAAGTTTTTCTGTCAAAAAAAAAAAAAAGTTTGATATTTATTTAGGAGGTTTTAGGGATTATGCAAATGAATACTTGAAAATTTTCAGATGAAGAAAAGTATTTTTAATCTTAACCTGAAAATCACTTTGCACTTCGAGCAGTCAATACTTTGAATGAGTTTGAGTCCATGTATTCATGGAGAAATCTTTAGTAAAAATAATTTAAAAAATCTTATTTCTTATGTATAAAAGACTTGATAGTTTGTGATGATATGCAGACATTATCAAAAGTTATAGTATGACTAATCTCATGATTACTGGAGGTTACCTTGCTGGTTATGTATTAGGTGCTTTGTGCCTAGTCCATATTGAAAGTGGTCATTAAGTATTTTTACTAAAAATTTGCCCATGAATAAATATGTGAAGTGTTGACTGCTCCGAGAGCAAAGAGATTTTCATGTTAAGATTAAAGATATATTTTCATCTGAAAATTGTCAAATTTCAGTTGCAATCTCTGAAACCTCCTAAATATATATATATAATTTTTTTTTCAGTAAAAATTTATATTTTTCCTACTCTCTCTACTCTAGCTCTATACACATTCATTCAGTTTGGCTGACCTTGTGACCACCATAGAAAAGTACAAAATACATTTAAATTAATTTCCCTTTTATTCTCTTTCTGGAATGACTGCAAATTACAACAGGAAGTTGCAATGTATTAACCTAAATGGTTTAAAGCTCGTAAGAGTATACATTTGTTCATACTTAAATTCTATTGTTTTCATGTCCTTTGGATCGTGTCTAATTAATAATCCCACCAAAGAAGTTGTAAATCAACAACAAATGTGTAGTTTACATTACTGTATCGAATTGTATAATGCACAAGCTGCTCATGAGTAAGTGTGGCAAGTTGATTTGATATTCTAGTTTGTGACTCCATAAACAAATAAGATTGAAGGCAAACAAAATTATGCTTTGCCTGAGTAAGATCTATATTATAATGAGCAATTTACATTAAGTTTCATACTTCTCTGATGGGTGGTAAGCAAATTAGGGAAGACCTAGAAAGCAAATATCACTATTCTCATACTAAGGGAGATTGAGGATTTTAAAAATATTTCCTTATAAAATTAAGAACACAAAACTTGTATAATCTTAAAGTTTGACTTAGTAACTCTTTGTATGGCAAGTTTATTCATATACAATAATAATAAGGTAGTTTAATTAAATTTTGTATGCAACTCTAACAAGTCGAGACATGCACACTTTGATCTGCTCATAAGAAGAGGATTAAACTTACTGTGAAATAGACTGATCATGTGATATATGTCAGGTGATCATTTGAGATTTATAAATGTAGAGCTCTAATCATTTGATTAGTGTATATCACAAGAGATAAGAACAAAGGCTTTCAAAAAGGCTTGATAGATAGTTGGTGCCTATTTAACTGGATTATCATTATTAGAGACCATTTCTTTCACTGGCTCTTCAAAAGTACTATCCATTGAAGTCTACCAAAAATAGCAATAGAAAGGAAATATGTCTAGCAAAATGTACAATCAGCTTCTGGTGACAAACTAAGGGAAAAGACAGTTAAGTGGCTTGAAAACAGATGTCAGACTATCCCAGTTGACCAATTCTTTCCACAATTATCATATTCTGATCATCTTCCATTGTACAATTATAAGAAAGGATATTTAATACAAAACAGTTTCATGTCTGTCAGTAATCAGTCTGCAACTTGATTTTTCAAATGTAAACAGGAAATTTGCATTTCACCCATTCTTGTATCTACAGTAGAGTAAAAAAATATAGAGAAAACTAAGAAAGGCACATGTCTTTAATTGTTTGGTTCTGATTTGGTTGTTAATTACATCAACCTTGATGAACAAGTGATTTTTTTTTAAGACAACGACAACAGTTCTCTGCACTCAAATTGTCAAAATTGGTTCAAAAAGCATAAAAATGACTTAATCATATTTCTTGACCAGCACAATCACAGGATATCCATCCAGTTGAGAATTTTTGTGATGTACTTGAATGTTGTATTGCCTTTGTAATTCTCTGCACAGTTATGTGAACCAGTTTCAGGCCATACCCCTCAACAAATGGACTTTAGTTGTGGAGTCCGTGCCATATTGGCTTCAGATTATGAGCACAGTATAAAGTGGTGATGAATATAACATGGCCAGCATTGTTGGACTTTGTGGTCTATAGATTGGTCTAGCATAAATAGTGTACTGAATTTTAATAAAGATAACTCACATGACATAATATTTTGTCGACATTCATATTATGTACATTTTTCAAAATAATCGTTATTGAATAATGGAATATATGGATACTTTTTCCCTTGCTATAGAACTTTCAAAGAGAAAAGTGATTAACAAGCCACGAGAGAGACAACTTCCACAGAAAGTTGGGATACCAACTGGTCAGAGACGGGGAAGGGGAAGACCAAGAAAGAACGACACCAAAATAAATAAAGATTATTGTCCCTTAACTTTGAGTAATTTGAAATTTGTTAATTCTCAGGATGTGTTGGAGGATTCAGCCAAAGGTAAGAAATGTTGTGGTGAGTTTATATTTTATACTTTAGAACTAGTTAATAGTTATTAAGTGATACATTTTTTTCTACTTAAAAATATTTTATGCTCTAATTGTATATTTTCCAATAATCAATACATGTTTGTACGTACTTTTATAAGTATTTAGAATAATAAGGAAGTATGTTGTTCAGCATATTGTTTCAAAACAAGTTTAGCTATATCAACACAGAAACATGTTTTATTATTTTTTTACAGTATGTGTCGATGCAATATATAATGGGCAATTGATTAAATCATATTGGGAAATGATTAAACATTTAAAGCAAATAAGAAACATATTAACATGTAAACTAAATGCCTTATTCAGTGTTATTTCTTTTAAACCTGTAGATTTTTCATTTGGATTTTGCCTATTTATAGCAACTATGCAGTTATACGAAATGTGACAATGTTCCATAAATATCTATAGGCAGTGATATGGGCTACAGCTTACTGTAAATAACTGTAAAACCAATAACATTGATAAACTCAGTGTGCAGTATCAGTTTCATGTGATTTTTAATGAATTGTGTAATTGATATTAAATATTTACTAAATCATGGGAAGAAAAGTATGAAAAGCACTATCCTACATCATACTGGGAAATTAGACTCTGATCAAGCATAGTAACACTGAAACGTACTGTGTCATTAACTGTAGTCTTACAGATTCAAAATGTGGGTTATAAAATATGACAGAAAAGAATTTATATAAAAATACAAAGATAAACATGGCTTGAGTTTAAGTAAAAAATATTTCTCCACACTTAAAGTTAGAAGATTATAGCAGGTACATTTTGAACGATCGATTCTCCAACTTTTGCACTACATTTGTGAAATTTATTAAATTGGCTTTAGTGTGCCGTGAACAATCAACAGCAATTTGAGGATATTATTATATAAATTTAAAGAAGAAATGTGAAAATTTAGTTAAAATATAAAATTGTTTATTTAAATTTTCTATTCACTAAATAATAAAATCAGACTGAGTGTATATTTGTATTTATGTTGGCTTCATATTTAGTGATCAGTTTGTAAAGAAGACCCACAGATTTTAAATTTTGGAGCGAGATAGTAATTTCAAGAATTACAGAAAGTAATTTTTAAATCGTCCAACTTAAGGTTGTTGTTAAAATTCAACAACAGTTTGGAGAAACACTTGTGTCAAATGGTGAAATAATTTGAATAAATACTTCTCTGGCTGTATTAAATTTAAATAAATCATGATAGCTTGGCAAAACAACAGATTTGTAATGTCATTTGTATAATTCTGGTAGAAAATGCCTAAATAATTTCTTTATTATTAGGGTAGTATATTGATTGATGTGGCATTGCTTTCTGTATCATGAATGAAATTTTGAATTTTTCAGCATTAGTGCTTGAATAATATGTATATGTTAGATTACATATACTGGGTTTGTTGACTGTCAGTAAGTTAATTGATCTTAGAAATAAATGATCATTGTTTCAATTCAGATGAAGAAGGATCACCATTGTCTTCTGAACACAGCAGTCCCTCTTTTGTTGATATCCAAGCTACACTCTCCTCATCTGCTAGTGACGTTCCTGTTGCTCTGCAAAGCCTCCTTGATCTGTACAAAACTGAATTTTTAGCTTTTCTACAATATATGAAAACATCAGATTGCACTCACAATATCCAGGAACAGATAATGAAAGAACAGGTAAACCATAATTCCTTACCAGTTAATCTGATGAAGCAGTTTCTTTTAATGCATTTAAAACATAGAATACTTTCAGCTGTATATTTTGTATAATAATAATATTAACTCTTTT